AGTAGTTGAAAACAAAAACTACTTTTTAACCACTTCAATACTGGGCACTTTTACCCCCTTCCTGCCTAGAGCTTTCTTTTGGTGGCATTTAGTCACCACTGAGGTTTTTATTTTTTTCTAAATTAACAAAAAAAAACCTGAAAATTTTGAAAAAAAAAAAAAACAAAAAACACGTTTTTCTTTGTTTCTGTTATAAAAGTTTTCAAATAAATAATTGTTCTTCATAAATTTAGGCCAAGATATATTCTGCTACATTTCTTTAGTGAAAATAACCCAAATTAGTAATTATTATTTAGTCTGTAGGAAAGTTATGGAGTTCACAAACTATGGGATATATCTGAATATTGATCAATCCTGAAGTACTGACAGCCGATCTAATTTCTTGAGGCCCACAAATGTCAGAACAGTACAGATATCCCCCAAATGACCCCTTTATGCAAAGTAGACAGTCCAACATATTTCATAAGAGGCATGGCAAGTTTTTTTGAAGTTTTAATTTTTTTGTCAAACTTTTTGGAAAATGAAGAAATTAAAAATAATATTTTCACAAACTTTTTTTTTACATACTGTCACCAGTGCAGTACAGCATCAGCATATAAACTGGTGTGGCGGTGATCAGGGATACTGACAGTACGAACAAAACAAATTGATAAATTTATTTTAATTACATTTTTTTCTCATTTTTTAAGATTTTTTTTTCATAATACACTATGACTAAAGTAGTATAATGTTACCATAGTTACATTGTACTACTTTGGGGAAGTGATCAGTATTTTTTTTTTTTTTACACAATTTGATTGCTTATAGCAAAGAATTTCTTTGCTATAAGCAAGCATTTAACTGAATGAAATTGATACATTCAGGTTTTTTTTGTCGTGATTAGCTGTAATTGGCCACGGCTAATGACATGACACAGATGGGCTCTGATTGAAATAATGATCATTTCTCCTGCAATGCAAAGCTTGCTGTCATGAACCTAACTCAATACACTTCAATCATTATAAAACTGCCCTCCAAAAATACAACTCTTGCCTCCACACTGCCAAGCAGACCTATTTTATCACTCTCATTAATACCTTCTCATCCAATCCCCATCAACTCTTCTCTACCTTTAACTCTCCTCTTCGTCCTCCACTGCCTCAACACTTCCCTTATTCAGCCCTGCTACTGCAGACGAGGTTGTTTAACTTCTTTCGGACGCCCACCTATCCACCTGTCCCCTATTCCCTCTCAGATACTGCCGTCACCCTCTGGCTCTATCCTACACTCTCTAACTCACATCTTCAATCACTCCCTCTCTTCCCCAACACTCTAAAACATGCACAAGTCACCCCTATACCTAAAAAGCCTTCCTTGGACCCCACCAATCTTAACAACCTAAACCCCATCTCCTTGCTCCCCTTTTCCTCCAAACTCCTTTAACGACTGGCCTATAACTAACTGAGCGACCAACTCATCAAGAATAACCTTCTTGATCCCCTTCAGTCTGGATTTCGCCCTCAACACTCCACAGAAACTGCTCTCCTAAAACTCACAAATGATTTACTAACAGCAAAAACCAATGGACACTATTCTGGACCTCTCAGCTGCCTTTGATACGGTTGACCACCCCCTGCTCCTCAAAAAACTTTACTCCCTTGGTATCCGTGACTGTGCTCTTCGTTGGTTCTCATCCTACCTATCCCACAGCACCTTCAGTGTCACTTACAATTCTACTTCCTCCTCTCCTCTTTTTCTGTTGGGCTCCCCAAAGTTCTGTTCTTGGACCTCTCCTATTCTCAATCTACACCTCCTCCCTGGGTCAGCTGATAGTCTCCCATGGCTTTCAACATCATTTCTACGCCGGTGACACCCAAATCTACCTTTCTACCCCTCAGCTCAAAACATCAGTCTCTTCATGTATCACCAACTTACTGACTGATATATCAGCCTGGATGTCACACACACTTCCTCAAACTCAATCTATCCAAAACCAAGCTCATCATACTTCCCATGTGCCCCTTCCCCGACTTCTCTGTCATGATCAATGGTAGAACCATCAACCCGTCCCTGCATGCCAGGGTGCTAGGTGTAATCCTGGACTCTGAACTCTCTTTTCAGCACCACATCGAACCACTTTCCAAAGCTTGCCATTTCAACCTCCGCAACATCTCCAAAATACGTCCCTCCCTAAACAATGACACCACAAAGCTCCTAATTCACTCTCTTGCCTCAATTACTCCCTCCTCATTGGCTTACCTTTACATAGGCTATACCCCCTCCAGTCCATCATGAATGCTGCTGCCAGACTCATCCACCTTACCAAACGTTCAGTGTCTGCTACCCCAAAATACTAACAACTTACAAAGCCATCCACAACTCAGGACCCCAGCTACTACACTAACCTAGTCTCAAAATACCAACCAGATCGCACTCTTCGTTCCTCCAAAGACTCTTTAGTTCCCTTGTTACCTCCTCCCATGCTCGCCTGCAGGATTTCTCCCGAGTCTCTCGTATCCTATGGAATTCCCTACCCCAATCTGTCTGACTATCTCCTTCTCTATCCACTTTTAGGAGATCCCTGCAAGTTTTCAGATAAGCCTATCCTGCCTCCACCTAACAACTGTACATGTATTTTCTCCATCGGCTCATCCCCAACAGTTATTACCTTTTGTATCACTTGACCCTCCCCTTTTAGATTGTAAGCTCTAATGAGCAGGGCCCTCTGCTTCCTCCTGTATTCAATTATATTGTAACTGTACTGTTTACCCTCAGATTGTAAAGAACTGCGCAAACTGTTGGCACTATATAAATCCTGTATAATAATAATAATAATAATAATAGTATACATTTTTTGGAAAAAAAATACACTCTAATGAATAAAAAAACCAAAATACAAAATATACCCCAAAGTTTTTGTGAAATATGAAAGATGATGTTACTCTGAGTAAATAGATACCCAACATGTCATGCTTTAAAACGCTCGTGGAATGGCACCAAACTGTGGTACTTAAAAATCTCCATGGGTGATGTTTTAAAAAGTTCTACAGGTTACCAGTTTAAAGTTACAGAGGAGGTCTAATGCTAGAATTATTGCTCTTGCTCTGATGTTCGTGACAATACCTCACGTGTGTGGTTTGAATACAGTTTACATACAGTTAGGTCCATATATATTTGGACACAGGCACAATTTTAGATTTTCAGGTATTTACCAAAACATATTCAAGCTATAGTTATATAATGGATATGGACTGAAAGTGCACACTCTTAAAGTTTAATTTGAGGATATGTACATTCAAATTGGAGGAAGAGATTAGGAATTACAGCTCTTAAGAGTAGCCATCCCCCCTTTTTCAAGGGACCAAAAGTAATTGGACAATTGAATCAAAAGCTGTTTCATGGCCAGGTGTGGGCTACTCCATTATTTCTTCATCAATTAAGCAGCTAAAAGGTCTGGAGTTGATTCTAATGAAGTGTGGTAGCTGCATTTGGAATCTATTGCTGGGAACCTACATCAAGCGTTCAAAGGAGCTGTCCATGCAAGTGAAACAGGCCATGCAAAAAACAGGCTTCAAAAACTAAACAAATCCATCAGAGATAGCAGCAACATTAGGAGTGGCCAAATCAACAGTTTGGTATATTCTAAAGGAAAGAAGAACACACTGGTGAGCTCAGCAACATAAAAAGGCATGTACGTCCACGGAAGACAACAGTGGTGGATGATCGCAGGATCTTCTCTATGGTAAAGAAAAACCCAATCACAACATTCAGACAAGTGAAGGACACTCTCCAGGAGGTGGGCGTATCATTGTCAAAGTCTACAATCAAGAGAAGACTTTACGAGAGCAAATGCAGACGGTTCACCACAAGGTGCGAACCAATCATAAGCTGAAAGAATAGAAAAGCCAGATTAGACTTTGCCAAAAAAAATTTTAAAACAGCCAGACCAGTTCTAGAAAAGCATTCATGGGACGGATGAAACTAAGATGAATCTGTACCAGAAAAAACAGGAAGAAAAAAGTGTGAAAAAAGCTTGGAACAGCTCATGATCCAAAGCACACAACATCATCTGTAAAACATGGTGGAGGCAGTATGATGGCATGGGCATGCATGGCTTTCAGTGGCACTGTGTCATTGGTGTTTATTGATGATGTGACAGAAGCAGCCAGATGAATTCTGCAGTGTTTAGAGATATACTGTCAGCCCCAATTCAGCCAAATGCAGCAAAGTTGATTGGATGGCACTTCACAGTACAAATGGACAATGATCCAAAACACACTGCCAAAGCAACCCAGGAGCTTTTGAAGGAAAAGAAGTGGAATATTTTGCAATGGCCATGTCAATCCTCTGATCTCAACCCAACTAAGCATGCATTTCACTTGCTGAAGGCAAAACTAATGGCAGAAAGACCAACAAAGAACTGAAGACAGATGCAGTTAGAGCCTGGCAAAGCATCAGAAAGGAGGAAACCCAGTCTTTGGTAATGTCCATGGGTTCCAGACTTCAGGCAGTCATTGCCAGTAAAGGATTCTCAACAAAATATTAAAAATGAACATTGTATTTAGGATTATATTCATCTGTCCAATTACATTTGAGCCCTGAAATTGGAAGGACTGTGTATAAAAATGGTTACAGTTCCTAAAATGTGTACTGGACATTTACGTTCAACCCCTTGAATTAAAGCTGAAAGTCTGCACTTCAGATTAATTTGCACTGTTTTGTTTTAATTTATTCTGGTGGCATACAGAGCCAAAAGTATGAAAATTGTGCCGTGTCCAAATATATATGGACCTAACTGTATGTGGGTGTGGCCTACGTATGCATTCACCACTGTGCACGAGCACAGGGGTACAGGGGCACTTTAACCAAATCCCAACCGCGCTATAGCTGAAGGACGGCTACAACATAGTTGTGTAATTCTGGGACGACGACCATGGACGTCATTTCAGAACACTCCCCCCTGCGCGCCCCCTGTGATCGCTGTGCCCCACAGACACAGCTGATCACGTGATATGGTAAAACAGCCAATCACGGCAGCCTTTTTATCACAGCGTAAGGAAAGTGCTGCCGAGAAACCGGCAATTGTCAGCGAAGGGATCGGCACTGATGATCAGTGTCCTGATGATCAGTGCCACCCACCTGTGCCCATCAGTGCCACCCACCTGTGCCGCCTATCAGTACAGCATCATCAGTGCCAGCTCATCAGTACTGCCTATCAATGCTGCCTATCAGTGCCCATCAGTGCTGCCTATTAGTGCTGCCTATCCATGCCACCTCATCAGTGCCCATTAGTACTGCCCATCATTGCTGCCTATCAGTGCCCATCAGTGCAGCCTCATCAATGCACATCAGTGATGGAGAAAAATTACCTGTTTGCAAAATGTTATAATAGAAACAAAGAATTTTTTTTTTATCTAAATTTTTTGCTCTTTTTTTGTTTATAGTGCAAAAAATAAAACACCCAGCAGCAAGTAAATACCACCAAAAGAAAGCTCTATTTGTGTGAAAAAAAAATTATAAAAATGTCATATGGGTGCAATGTTGCATGTCTGCGCAATTGTCATTCAAAGTGCGACAGCGCTGAAAATTGGCCTGGGCAGGAAGGGGGTAAAAGTGCCCGATAGGCAAGTGGTACATTTTTATTTACATTTTTTTTTTTTTTTTTCACTGTTCCTTTAAAAAAAATGTTTTTATCACTTTTATTCCTATCACCAGGAATGCAACATCCCTTGTGATAGAAATAAGCAGTGATAGGTCCTCTTTATGGAGAGATCTGGGGTCAATAAGACCTCACATCTCTCCTCTACAATGTAAAGCATTAGATCAAACAAAAATTGATCTAGTACTTCTGCCCCAGACCTATGCCTGTATTAATACTCTACAATCAGACAGCTGGGCAGGAGTCTATTCTTATTGAAAATAGCTGGGCTACATTTACACAAATTTAGTTTTGAGTTTGGCTCTCCTCCTTACATATATACACATGGGAATTATCTACACTTTCAGAATCTGGAGCAGTTGTGCATGGCAACCAACTTCAGCTTGCTCAGTTAAAGAATATGTAAATCCAACATTTAATATTCCTGATATGCACCTGCTGTACCATGAACTTAGTATGAAAAAGTATCCTGTTCTCTTTGTATTGCTTCTTATATGAAATCCCTGGTGTTCCTTTCAGTCCCTCTCCTTTCTTATTAAAAACTGACCACACTAAGCAGAACAAACCATGGTCAGTTCTCCAGCTACGCTGGGAACTCAGGCTGCTCTGCTCCAATGATAAGACTTGTCCTGACATGACCCCCCCCCCCCCACACACACAGCCTTTCACTGGGAAGATCACTTTAGGCATTGAAAGTGAGAGATAGAAGCTGAATGGTTGCCATGCACAGCCGCTCTAGATTCTGGCTGCTCCAGTTTCTAATAAAATCCCTACCTTGTATTTTTATAATACCTTTCAAGAGCAAGCATACAGATCAGTCAAGTCAAGAAAAGCCATACCCCTCCTTATCTGCATATTTGACAGAGGACAATAAGCAACTTAAAGTATTAAAACAAAATCAGGAAAAAGTCAGGAAGCTGCACATTTTTAGAAAAAATCAGCAAGGTCTTATGTGTAATGAGGCATTATATGGCCATCTAACCTAAACCTATGTTAATCTAATAAACTATAAATCTTTCGGTGTAAAAATGGCATAGCCAAGTTCAAACATGTAGAAATCAATTTTATAAGCCAGCTAAGCAAGCCTGCACCAGGAAAAAAAGATCAGGTCATGCAATCTGATTGAAGGCTTTAGGCATTGGGTGTCTTTCAGTATAAAGCAGAAAAAGAAGTTGGGTACAGACCTGAGCATGGGCAAACTTTCAGAATTCAGGAGGTAGTCAGTCCAAATTAAGAGTCTGTCAATATATTTATTCAAAATAATAGTAGGCACCAGGACGACTCCTCCATTAAAACACATTTAATAGCTAATAGCTGTTAATTTTTAAGCAACACCCAAATGTTAAAGTGGTTGTAAAGGATTAAAGTTTTTCACCTTCATACAATTTATGCATGAAGGTAAAAAACCTGTGTGCAGCATTATTACCTGAGCCCGATCCAGCGATGTGCACGAGAGCAGCAGCTCTCTGGGGTCTCTCCCTCCACATTGACAGACAGCAGCAGCCATCGGCTCATGCTACTGTCAATAACATCCAATGAGGAGAGATATCGGGGGGAGGGGCTGAGCAGCACTCTGTGTCTGAAAGGGCAGACAAAGCAGCGGCTTGGGAGCGAGAAGAGGAGGATCGGGGCTGCTCTGTTCAAAACCACTGCACAGAGCAGGTAAGTAGGACATGTTTGTTATTAAAAAATAAATATATATGCCTTTAATGTCACTTTAATTATCCCCCCTTTAACCAAATCCTATTAATCTGGAGCTATTAACAACAGAGGGAAGAACACATTGAGATGCAGTTCAGATTTCTTCATTAGGCTAATACTCAATTTGCTAAGCCTGTTTAATTGAAGAACAATCTGCACACAGAACACAAATATAGGTCTAGTGTTTTCTGTTTTTCAAAGCAAGGTATTCTACATTGAGATAAGGCTGCATTCTGAATCATTGTGGAAACCTTTAAAGTCATTCCCAAAATCTGCAGACTGTGAAAAGCAGGAAATTCAATAAATCACGAAAGACAAAGTGACAAATTGATTTAATTAAAGCACAAAACTTACTGTTGAACAGGTTCAAAGTTTAAGAGATTGTGAATTACAGAAATCTCTCACATTGCCAGCTCGGGAATCAGTATTTTCAATACAGTTAAGGTCTTGAGGGGGGGGGGGGAAAAAGCCACTGTTTGGCATAATATGTATACGTTATAGAACTGGCTATGGCCTACCTAAAGCACTGCTAAGTCCATATTATAGACCAGGGGTCCTTAAATTCTTTAAACAAAGGGCTGGGTCACTGTCTTTCATACTTTAAGGGGGCTGGACTGCCCCTCGTGGAAGTGGAAAATTCCCTGGCTTCTGTGGTAGTAAACAATTCCCCTAATTCAGTGATGCATGGGAGCAAAAATGCCCCAGGGTTGGTGGTCAGTGGAAGTTAAAAAAAATGACCTAGTGTGCGTGGTCAGTGAGAGCAGCAACATAGCCCCAATGTTGGTATCAAGAGGAGAAATTGTGCCTCCTCAATGGTGTCAGTAGGAAGAATTGTCCCAAATCAATTTAATCAGTGAGAGGAATAGTGCCCCATCCTTTTGATCATTGGGAGAATTAATGCCTCGTCCTTTTTATCATTGGGAGGAATAGTTCCCCATTGCTGGGGTCAATGGGAATAATAATAAAAGTCCCAAAGGCAAAGAAAGGAACACAATTTGAGGATCACAGTTTTAGACTATAGCTTTACTATAAACCAGCATTTCTGAACAGTACACTGACTGGTCACTTTTTGCTCCGAGCTGCACTCCACTAAACCCATGGTTTCTATATCTTCACTTTTCTTCCACAACCCTGCTCTACAGAATCCATATTTTCCATACCTTGTTAGGGATAAGGGCTATTGGTCTCAGTTAATCACAGTGTACTTACTGTGTGTATACATCCAACACATGAGGGGTTTACAATCAGATCATAATGTAAGTTAACACCCACAAACTGACATCTGTACACATCGGTCTCCTTCCTGAGAACATAGGCATCAGGTATGAGAACAAAACTGTGCAGTGCATACCAATCCTCATTCTCAGACACGTGTAACCTAAAGGCAGCCTTATGTTACTCTATATTCTGAACAAAAAAAAAACACTGTAAATTAACCTTTATCTTTGATATTTTTTTCTAAATAAAAGTGATGGGAAATCCGAAATTGTGCAGTGTTTAGAGGAACAGGAAGTGAAGGAAATCTTTAAAATGGGGACACCTTTGTCAGTAACAATTTTGGCCTGGCAACTGGCTAATCAGGCCTGAACAGTGCATGCTGCAAGAAAAGGGAGATCACATTCTCCCCATACACAGAAGCATCAGGTATGTCCAAACACCTTGAAAGAAGAACAGAGGGAGGGAATTGTAGCAAAGGTGAACATCAGCAGATATTTTGAGCTTTCACGGGAACCTGTCATTGTGACCAGCATGGGCAAATTACAAAGTAATCTTTACAATCTAACCAGAAATCGCAGCTCCAATGTTTTTATGCTCACGGGCTTACTTATAAGGATACATCATCAAATCAGATTCCAGGAATTCAAGAATACATAAACCACATGGAAACACTGCGGATAAAGCTCACATAAAATGAAAAAAAAAAAACAACACTAACAAGAAACAGAGTAAGAAGAAAAGTTTTATTTAGTCGTTTTGGATTGCTGCCTTCTAACATCTTCAACATACAATGACCCCAAGAAATAGGACATTTAAATGAAGATTAGAGGCAACTCGAATGCCACTATTATCTGTGGCAAAGTGCAGACAAAGGTCAAGGTGAAAGGAACTGCTTGTGTTAGCTTTCCAGTAATTATTTGTAAAGCAAGTGTCCAGACGAAAGTTTACATACATAGGAAAAGCAGTTGATATATGCAAAACTTGGAATAGACCGGAAATGGAGGAAACAGTCATAGGTAAAGCTACACTCAGTATACAGAAGCGATCCGATTCTATTATATTTCCTATAGACTGAAAAATGTCAGAAGTTTTGTTCATTGAACATCAGATTCATACTTGCGCTGAAAGTTTTAATGTGATTGTTGATTCAGGGAGTAGAACGTGAAAAAGACTTTACACAGCACATACCTGTGAGGTGCTCTCTGTGGATACTTTGTACAGTGTATTAGAAAGAACTCTGAAGAAAGGAAATTTCTACCAAGAGAAGTAAAAGACTGCCACTGCCAACTCCTTTTTAAACTGCTAGTGGCCGGTCTCTGGTCTCACTAACCCAGCAAAAGCATGCAGCTAATGAAGAAGAATATTAGAACAATTGACCTGCATAGATGTTTCAGATCAGTGGCTCAAAGCATTGAAGCCTTTGCACTGACACCAACTCCCAGACAAATCGCATTTTCAAAAGGAAAGTTAAGCAATGACAACCTATATATTCACTTAGTAAAACTTTCCTTTAAACTGAAATGGGTGGACTTTTTTTTACTTTGGCCCATTGGTATCTCACTGTCTGGTTTCACCTGTTACCCAGAAATAACCTTTAAAAGGTCCTACTTGTCGCAATAGGCAATATCTTCCCTTCTTCCCTTTCTAGTCTTTATACAAAATGCTCTATAAGCCTAAAGATTTGTTCTCCCTAACAAACCCCTCCAAAGACATGAGTTATACCAGTTTTTCCTAAATTTCAAGTATTCTCTCTGAGGAAGAGTATTCATTCTCTAGTTACAGCTAACATACAGTAGAGTGACCATACAGATTCAAATTACAGAACAAAAGTAGTATTGACTTACAAATGCTAAGGAGGTGATTTTTGAGAGGAGTAATATCTGAACTGGATACTTGCTTGTGGTAAAGTGGGGCTGAGACCCACCTGCAAGAGAAGGTGATGTGTAGCAAGACCAAAAGAAATTCAAGGTGATAAATCAACAGAGTTTGATGTGATAGCAACCAAAACTACGTTTGACAGTGCAGGTGAACACTTAAAAGTAGCAAAGAATGAGGCCTCTGAATTATAAACATAAGCAACAGAACAAAGTAAAGAGAAATAAGAGTTCCTTACTGTTTGATCCTCGGATTCCCAGCTTATCCTCTGGTTTCCCATGAATAACGCCACCAAAAGCCCGCTCCACTATGAAGGCAGTTATCTTGTCCTTTGTAACACCATCTTTATCAACAACATCTGTCCTTGCAAACACTGTGAATATATCTGCCAGACCTCCATTGGATATCCATATCTAGGAAGTGAAGTTAGCATGTGATGCAATACATATGACGTCTGACAACAGGTCTATTAAATACTTTACGATGCCTCTAGTGGTGTCCGGTGTCTGACTGCAGTGAGGAATCCCACCACATAATTATAGTTACCGTATTTTTCGCTCCATAAGACGCACCTGACCATAAGACGCACCTAGGTTTTAGAGGTGAAAAACAAGAAAAAAAAATATTCTGAACCAATGGACTGCAGACATAGTACAGGGGATGACCAGAGACTGCGGACACAGTACAGGAGATGACAAGAGACTGCAGACATAGTACAGGGGATGACCAGAGACTGCGGACAGTACAGGAGATGACCAGAGACTGCAGACATAGTACAGGAGATGACCAGAGACTGCGGACAAAGTACAGGGGATGACCAAGAGACTGCGGACATAGTACAGGAGATGACCAGAGACTGCAGAAACAGTACAGGAGATGACCAGAGACTGCGGACACAGTACAGGAGATGACCAGAGACTGCGGACACAGTACAGGAGATGACCAGGGACTGCGGACACAGTGCAGGAGATGACCAGAGACTGCGGACACAGTGCAGGAGATGACCAGAGACTGCGGACACAGTGCAGGGAATGACCAGAGACTGCGGACACAGTGCAGGGAATGACCAGAGACTGCGGACAGTGCAGGGAATGACCAGAGACTGCGGACAGTGCAGGGAATGACCAGAGACTGCGGACAGTGCAGGGAATGACCAGAGACTGCGGACAGTGCAGGGAATGACCAGAGACTGCGGACAGTGCAGGGAATGACCAGAGACTGCGGACAGTACAGGGAATGACCAGAGACTGCGGACAGTACAGGGAATGACCAGAGACTGCGGACAGTACAGGGAATGACCAGAGACTGCAGACAGTACAGGGGATGACCAGAGACTGCGGACAGTACAGGGAATGACCAGAGACTGCAGACAGTACAGGGGATGACCAGAGACTGCGGACAGTGCAGGGAATGACCAGAGACTGCAGACAGTGAAGGGGATGACCAGAGACTGCTGACCTTTGGGGAGGGAGGGGGAGCGGGTACCTGAATTTGACAGGTACCCGCTCCCACTTCCGCGGAGTTGCCTTCCCTCTTCTTCCCGGGCCGGCTTCTGTGACAGCCGGGTGCCCACTGCGCAGGTGCAAGAAGCGCTTCGCTTTGTGAATGGCCCGGCGCCTTCTGTGACCTTTCATGTGTCCCAGAAGACACCGGATCATTCACAAAGCGCAGCACATGCGCAGTGGGCACCCGGCTGTCACAGAAGCCAGCGCGGGAAGACTGTGCAGCTCTGGAGCGAGGAACAGGTAAGGCCCTGCAGGGGAGAACAGCTGAGCGGCCGGCCCGGTATTCTGACATGGTGGCGGCAGAAATACCGGACCGGCCGCTTTACATTCCCTCCATAAGACGCACTGACATTTTCCCCCCTTTTTGGGGGGGAAAAAAGTGCGTCTTATGGTGCGAAAAATACGGTATATGACCCACAGCTACCTTGCTCGGTTTCAATAAAAAGAATGTATTCTTACAGCTCATGCTGTATCTATGCCTACTGAAAATCCAGCAGGGGCCATGCATCAACCCTGCTTAATCAAGCAGAGAACTAAGTAATATTGCAGAAGGTGCTGCAGTCAGGTGGAAGGAGACTTCCTGATTGGAGTTTCTGAAAGTTATAAAAAGCCAATAGGCTCATTTCAGAAAAAAAACATCTTATGTTTCTAAGCTATTCAGATTAAACACTCTGATAACCGTTCAGTTGGATGCTGACACTTCAAATCTCTTCCACGTCTTGTAAGAAAAAAAGAAATATGTAATACAATGTGTAATCCTGAATTCATATCCAGTTATTTCATATTTATGTCTTCCACTAGTTTTAATGGCATTCTTCTATGTTTTTATGTCACCTTACACAAACCAAAAACCCATAGTAGTAATAGGTTAGTGTTTACCTAAACTGGCTTTAGAACCTCTACAGTATGTGATTGTACAAACACTGTATATCAGACACAGACTGCACACTTCACACAGGCAGAACTTCCGTGAATAGCTTTAGATACTCTGTAAAGCTCTGTGGAATGCACTGGTGCTATATAATAATGAATAATAAAAATATTATACCTTTGAACCGTTCAGAATATAGTGTTTTCCATCAGCACTCAAGGTTGCTCTAGATTTGATTGAAGCAGCGTCACTCCCACTAGAATGGGGAAAAAAAATAAGACTCTTCATAAAAGTATCACTTCACCCTGTACATTCTATTAAAGTAGGCTTTGGCAATCTGGACCTACTGCTGTAATTCAAGCTCAGCTGTAAATTGTGCAATATTAGACAGGGAAGACAGGTCTGGCACAGAGCACCGCTGATGAACTCTGCAATCCATTTTCCCTGCTCTCAAGTTTCCATACATGTCATTAAGTCAATTACAACCTGGAAATACAACCTATATTCAAAATAGAGCACAGCAATCACTTTCCCCACCACATTTACTAAAATTAAAATAGCATTTGTTAAGTGACAACTAAAAGCAACATACATAACCATACACCACTTATAAAACAGAACAATAGATGTAACAAGAGCGACCCTGAAAGTAGCAGAGACTCCACGAAAAAGGCTCCAAACGACAAATACACATTACAGGGACATTTTTAATAAGTATTTTTAACATAATCATGTAAAAAAAATAAATACTGTATATAGCATATAAAATCTTATAAATATGTGCCAATATTTTAAAATCTTTGCTTCTTTGCATACATACATTATACTGTACAGTATATGCACTTAGGAGCAGTCCACTGTCACAATATGTACACAGGCTCTACTTCCTGCTCTGCACTGACACTATGGGGTTGATTTACTAAAACTGGAGAGAGCAAAATCAGGTGCAGGTGTGCATGCATGGTAGCCAATTAGCTGCTAACTTCAGTTTGTTTAATGAAACTTTGACAAAAAAAAAAAAGAAGATGATTGGTTTCTATGCACAGCTGCACCAGAATTTGCACTCTCCAGTTTTAGTAAATCAACCCCAATGTTTGTGCGTTATTGCTCCTTCTCACAATTATTATTATACAGGATTTATATAGCGCCGATAGTTTGCTCAGCGCTTTACATTATGGTGGGGGACAGTACACGAGACAGTACATTAACAATACAATTCAATACAAGAGGGGTTCGAGGGCCCTGCTCCTTGGAGCTTACAATCTAGTAGCGAGGGGATAGTGGTACAGGAGGAAATAGCTGTGGGGGATGGAGTGATTGGAGGAGTAGAGGAGTTCAGTATTAGCGGAGGGCGGGGGTAGGCTTCCCTGAAGAGATTTTTTCAGAGTGCGCCTAAAGGTGAGCAGAGTAGGTGATAGTCTGATGGATTGGGGTAGGGAGTTCCAGAGGATGGGGGAAGCCCTGGAGATGTCCTGGAGTTGAGCATGGGAGGAGGAGACAAGGGAGCTAGAGAGTAGGAGGTCTTGTGAGGAGCGGAGAGTACATTTTGGGTGATATTTGGAGACAAGATCGGTGATGTAATTTGGGGCAGTATTATGAACAGCTTTATAAGTCAGTGTTAGCGGTTTGAATTTTATCCGTTGGGCAATTGGAAGCCAGTGGAAGGATTGGCAGAGGGGGGTGGCAGATACGGAATGGTTAGTAAGGTGGATGAGTCTGTCTGCAGCATTCACGATAGACTGAAGTGGGGATAGCCTGCGGTGAGGTAGGCCAATGAGGAGGGAGTTACAGTAGTCGAGGCGTGATATAATAAGTGAGTGAATGAGTTGCTTAGTGGTTTCCGAGGTTAGGAACGGTCGTATCTTGAAGATGTTGCGGAGGTGAAGTCTACATGAGTTTTGTCAGTGATTGGACCTGGGGCTGAAAGGACAGATTGGAGTCTAGGATGACACCTAGTTTGAGGGGTGGGACTGATGATAGTGTTGTTGGTCTTGATGGAGAAGTCGGGGGGGGGGCACGGGCTGGGGGGAATACTAGGAGCTCAGTTTTGGAAAGATTTAGTTTGAGGACGTGTCAGTTGTCAGAGCAGGGATCGGCACCGATCATCAGGGCACTGATGATTAGTGCCCAGCAGTGCAACCCACCAGTTCCACCCACCCGTGCCCAGCAGTGCTGCCCACCAGTGCCCAGCGGTGCCACCCACCAGTGCCCATCAGTGCCACCCATCAGTGCCCATCAGTGCAGCACAGCAGTGCTACCAGTCAGTGCCCAGCAGTTTTCCCAGTCAGTGCCCAGCCGTTGCGCCAGTCAGTGCCCAGCAGTGCCGCCAGTCAGTGCCCAGCAGTGCCGCCAGTCAGTGCTATCAATACGTATCATCAGTGCCGCCTATCAGTGCCGCCTATCCGTGCCACCTCATTAGTGCTGCCTATCAGTGCCCTTCAGTGCTGCCTATCAGTGCCCTTCAGTGCTGCCTATCAGTGCAGCCTCATCAACGCACATCAGTAAAGGAGAAAAATTACCTGTTTGCAAACTTTTATAATAGAAACAAAGAAACCATTTTTTTTAAATGCTTTGCTCTTTTTTTTGTTTATAGCACAAAAAATAAAACCCCCAGCGGCAAGTAAATACCACCAAAAGAAAGCTCTATTTGTGAGAAAAAAATGATAAACATTTCATATGGGTACAATGTTGCATGATCACGCAATCGTCAAAGTGCGACAGCGCTGAAAGCTGAAAATTGGCCTGGTAAGAAAGGGGCCAAGTGGTTAATAAATGTTCCTAGAGACTACCTTTCTAGCCACCAAGATGATGGGGATGGCAGAATCTGACACTCCCCAATCCTTCAGGATATGGATTTCAATAGCCACGTCATCAAAAATTTAGTGACCGTAAAGCTGGGGGCAATATAGAACCTTGAGACAGCAGGTCCGGCTGATATGGCAGGGACCACAACCCGTCTACTACCATCTTTACTATGTCCGTGTACCAGGGCCTCCTGGGCCAGACCCAAGCAGTCAGTGTCACTGAAATAGATTCCTCCCGAATCCAGCAGCTGAATCGGAGGAAAGACATAAACCAGTGAAAACTGGTTCCAAGGAATCACTAAGGCATCTATCCCTGCTGCATAAGGGTCCCTTACCCTGGACACAAAAAGACAGACCTTGTTGTTGAACCTGGATGCCAATAGATCTACGTCCGGGCAACCCCATCGCTGGCAGATTTCTTTGAAAACCTCGGGATGCAAGGCCCAATCCCCTGGAATCAACTGCCGGCGACTAAAATAATCAGCATGCCAATTTTCCACACCTGGAATGAACACTGCTGACAAACTTGGAACATATTTCTCTGCCCAGGTGAGAATGTAATTCACCTCCTTCTGAGCACCTCGACTCCAGGTACTGCCCTGGTGGTTGTATGCCACCGCTGTGGCATTTTCGGACTGAATTTGTACAGGCCAACCCTGAAGCCTGGATGTCCAATACCTCAGAGCCAGTCTCACTGCCCAAAGTTCTAGGACTTTGATGGGTAGAACCCTTTCCCATGGAAGCCATATTCCCTGAACTGTGGCCTCCTCCAGGACAGCTATCCAACCCGCGGCTCGGTGGTTACTAACTTCCACACCACAGGCCGAAAGGATCTCTCCAAATTTTGAGTTATCAACCACCAATTCAAGCTTTTCCGTTCCTCTGGAGATAGAAATATGCAGTAATTCAGGGCTGAATCTTCTTCTTGCAAACAGTTAGAATGTACCTTTGCAGTGGTCTGGAGTGAAACTGGGCACAGGGAATAGCCTCGAACAAGTACACCATCTTCCCCAGCAACCTCATACAGAGGCAAATTGAAAGATACCTCTTGGCTTTTAGACTGCAAACCTCATTCCTCAGGGCACAACATTTCCCGGGAGGCAGAAATACCTTTGCCTAAACTGTGTCTAGGACCATCCTCAATTACTCCAGGCTCTGAACTGGTTCCAGGGCCGACTTCTTGAAGTTAAGCAACCAGCCCAGCTGTTCCAGGATCTGCATCGTAAGGACCACATCCTGCATGAGATCTCTGAGCAACAGATTGTCTAGATAACCTACGACCGATACACCACCCCAAACAGCTGTTCTCCATGAATGGAAAAGCCTGCCAGCTATTTTTTGCATGGCAATTCTGCAGACCAACTCTTCCGCCACAAAAACATGTGCACTGAAAAGAGGGCCAAGCAAGAAATTTGCTGAATTTAATCCTTAAGAGCATCAACCGCAAAACATAAAGCACACGGAACACCCACCAAATCCTCGGCTGAGTATTCCCCTTACACCAACAGTCTTCCAAGCAGTGGCTTGACATGGCCAGAAAGACTCTGGCAAACGCTAATAGCTCCCACTGCTGGTGGTGCGGCATAACCTGCCAGGGAGAAGGAGGCCTTAAGGAGAGACTCCAACTTCTTATCCACTGGATCCTTGAAAACCTGGACATTATCCATAGGACATGTTAAAGATTTATTCAGGGATGAAACAGCTGCATCCACTACAGGCAAACCCTATTTATTAACAAGTTCTCTTCCATGGGGTACAAAAAAGAACAGCTCTTTGGTGGAACAAAAACCCTGTCTAGGTGATCCCGGTCAGCATACATAATTTGCTTTAGAAGAGGATGCACTGGAAAAATCTGTGTACTTTGTGGAGGCCTTAAAGAGCCCAGAGAAGAATAAGTAACCTCAGAGGTTTCTATTGGAGGTAGCCTGAATCCAGATCGCACCATATCAGTGAGGTCCTGGTCTAATAACCTCTGAGACTGGGAGGCAGAAACTGCCTGCTACTACTCTACTGCCTGACCTTCCTCCAGGTTCTTCCTCATCCTCAGGTTCCACCCATTCCTACTCTAGGATTGGTCGTTCTAGTGATGGGGAGCTATCCCGCTTCTTAGTCCCCTGAGAAACCGATGCAATCATCCCAGTGATCTTAACCTTTAACCCTGCTAAGGCTGAAGCAAGATCATCCTTGGTTACATATGCCGAGGCAGATGCCCCAGTAGTAGCCACAATGCCAGATAAACGGAGTGGATCAAACTGCCCAGTTGCTTCTGGCCTCTCAGGAGAGGATATTACAGTGGACATTCGGCTAGGTTCCTCAGGACCTGGCAGTGGCACATTACTACCCTTGCCTGCTGTACCTCCCCCAATCCGCTTTCTGGAAAAAATTACTTCAGATAGCGTAAAAACATGTGCACCTTCAACAGTAAACACAGACCACAAGATACAGCTAAGTAGTGTGCTGAAGAAAAAAAAACATTCAATGCAAATTGCTGACCTTATGAGCGACCAAGGGAAGCTCCTGACTGACTGACCAAAGCTTCCTCCTCAGGGGAGTAATCAGGTGCCCCATGGAATAGCCTGCTCTGTGTTCTCCTCTCAGTACCTCTGTAGTTCAGAAGGCAGGCTCAGGGAATTCTGTGATACAGACCTGCCTACAGGGCATAGTGAATCGGTGACACAGAACTCAAAAATGTAAATGTGTGGGGATCTTGACAAAATAGGTTTACAAACTTCAGGAATGCTACAATGATAGGAGTAGACTAGAAATAATTGAAGTGAAACATGGAAACTAATATACAATTTTACATTTTGACCACAGGTACGCTTCAAAGCCTTTTTTGTTTTTGACAGGAGAGGAAGAAGTAAAATTTCCATAACTTTTCTAATTTTGTCTATGTTCCAACTGGTGAGACTTTCCATCACTTCCTGTCCCTGCAATACCTGTACAAGAAAAAGGATGAATGACTTTCAAAGGGACAGGAAGCCAGAGAAAACAATAAACCTTTTCTCATACCACTAAATATGTGGATGTGCTTCCCTGTTGAATAGACTTCCCATCATTTCCAGTCCTGACAGCATATAAAAAAAAAAAAAAACACAGGCAGAAACTTTTCCCTTTCCCCGCTCCATCCTCATCCACATTATTTCTATCTTTACTAGGAAAATGTAGTAGTGCTGTTACCATGCACATGTTGCATAAGGCTTTAACAAAGATGACCTGTTTATAGGAGATTCAAGTTTATCCTCTTACATACCAAAGATCTCTCAAATTTCACATATGCAGGTAAACTTCTGAAAGCTATTTTGGCAGAAATAGTAAAAAAAATAGTTCTGCCAATAGGATGATTTACAGAGCTGAGTGTCCAGATGTAAACAGCTCTAATTTTAGGAGCTTGTTACATCTGGCTCAGATTTCCTAATTCTTTAGCGGGGGGGGGCTCAGGTTTAGGGGTGCCATGTGCATTGTATAGTATAGTAAATAAAGAGTGCAGCACTAAATAAAAACTAAAATGAACCAGTAAATATTAATGACAGATTAAACTCAGAGATCAAAAGTTAATAAAAGTTCCTAAAATGATAATGGTAATATAGGATCCCAACCGCAGCGATACTCAGATGCTTGTGCTTGGAAGGTATAGAAAAATGCACACTCACCGGATGTGCATTGATTATGCACATATAAGTAAATCCACCACGGTCCACGTATGGAACCGGGATATGCCAGGCGTATGGTACACTTCCTTCTAGATATGGAACAGCACAGCAGAATTTCTTGGGCTGGGTAAAAGGTCTGCTCATCCAGAGGTCCCCTTTAAGGATGGATGGGTCTGCAGCCTGTGTGTTACAGGGATTCCCTCCTATGGGTGCTTGAATGGGCCAGGATCATGAGAAGGCTCTGTAATTCAATACGTAGCTCCATAAAGGAGCCACACAAAAAGTGCCCATAGTGTAGTAGTATAAAATAAAGTATTTCATTCCATGGAAAAATTCAAATATAAGGTAATTAAAATAACAGTATTGCAGAGTGAACGCAGCACTGACCAAGGATAAAGATGGCCGCCGGAGCCTCGTGAAGGTCAGGGTGTGTTGGCTCCTCCTAAAGCTTTTCGTGCCACGCACGTCCCCAGAGGGGAGACCAACCAGGGTCATATCCCGCTCCCATAAGTCGATTGTGGTGGATTTATTTATATGCACATATTCAATGCGCATCCGGTAAGTGCGCATTTTTCCTATACCTTCCAAGCACAAGCATCTGAGTATCGCTGTGGTTGGGATCCTATATTACCATTATCATTTTATGAACTTTTGATCTCTGAGTTTAATCCGTCATTAATCTTTACTGGTTCATTTTAGATTGTATTTAGCGCTGCACTCTCTATTTACTGTTTGACAGAGGTTTTTTGTGGTTACCTTCGTGCAATAGCTGCTTTATCTGGAGCGCTCGCTTTGCTTTACTTTACATTGTATAGTATAAATTGCAACAAAGATAGAAAAAAAAAAATAAACTCTATCACTTTGTGCCAGGAAATAAGAGCAGAAAACATTACGAAAAGTTTCATGTTAGCAGGGCTTCTCTAGAATATTAATTAAAATTATAGTGGGAAAAGGATGCAGGTACAGAATGCAACCTCTTTAGTCTCTTTACACAGCAACTACAAAAATCCTTGCCACTATATGCAATATATATTTCTATTTACACCCTAAAAATATTTGTATACCTACCACTAATATCTGGTATATCCTGCTCATGAAACCAAAAGGCAACTTTGATTCTTTTCCAAAGAGTTTAGTGTTTATTGGATGCTAGCAACAGATGGCGCAACCAGCAAAATACATACAAAATACAATGATCAGAAGCCCTATAAACCTGTTTAGAATACGAAGCTGGTAAAGATAAAGACACTCCATATATTCAGCATATTATTATTATTATTATTATTATTATGCAGTATTTATAAAGCGCCAATAGTTCGCTCAGCGCTGTACATTACAAAGGGGGACAGAACATGTGACAGAACAATACCAATACAATGCAAAACATGAGGGGATTCAGGGCCCTGCTCTTTCGAGATTATATCCATAACTTAATAAATTTGTTTTTATAGAAAACGTCTTACAAATCTCATATCTTGCACATGTCTCTACCTCACTGTCTTAACAGTTGCCTGCACAGAGCTTGGGACTGAGACTGATAATGTCTTAAAGCGGTAGTAAACCTCATCCAAAAAATACAGTGTGGATGGGAGAGATCCCACATCAAAGTCCAACTGAGAACTGCAGTTTGCCCTAGTCCACCTAAGACTAAGTATTTTAAGTGGCGTTGCTTTTGAAAAACACATTATGCCATATTCCCTATCCATGTGGATAGTTAATCTACATCACCTTCCAGGCTCTGTAAGGCAAAAGGCTGCAATATGGTCTCCGGATGCTAGCTTAGGCAGGTACTTTGCTTTCTGCTCTTCATTACCAGCAATCAATATTCCCTGAAAAATAAAACAAAAATGGATGGTCTACAAATCTTTCCAATTATTAAAGTCCGTTTATGCAGTACAATAAAACCAGATACCCATGTTATGAGGGAAGACAATCTAGGAGGACAAATAAAGCGTTATTAAAACTTTGGTCTGTAAGTACTTTCAGAAGCAGATTTAAAGTAGAACTAAAAGCAAACCTTTTCACTTTCGATAGAGTAAGGAAGAAATATTAACCCTGTCAATTTTTATTTTTGTCTTCTGTTCCCCAATGTGGAGATTTCCGTTCACTTTCTATATCATAGCGAAAACAGGAGGTAAATCCCTCCAAAGTGAGGGAATCCCTCGATGTCACCAGGGTCACCAGAAATAGTGTCCCCATTGAAAGATTTCCCATCTCTTCCTGTTCTGATGACAACCCAAAATTGTGGATCTTCTTTCACTTCCATTCTTGGTGACAATGGTAAACAGGACAGAGAGGGCGTATCTTCCAAACAGGGGCACAGAAAGCAATAAAAACCTGACAGGTGTTCTAATCCCTCTCCATTCTACCCAAAACTAAAAATAAAAGTTTGCCTTTAGTTATACTGTAACCACTTATGGAGTACACAAGATTCTTTTAAAGGATAAGTTCACCTTTTGCACAAAAATAATACATGTACATTTTTTTGCAGGTACAAAAATGTGCATTTATTATTTTTGTCCAAAGGAGCCTGGAAAGCATTGTACAAGCGATCAGTAGATTGCTGATGCAATGCAGGTCTCCAGCAGAGAGACCTGCTTGCCGTACGGAGAGTATGATGAGCAAGAAGATATTCTGACAGGAAGCTTGAACTACCACCACAGCACCATGGTAGTTCATTGAAAACTACAAGCCCACAGTTGCTAAAGCTGTAGGGACTTGCAGTTCATTCATTCACGGAAGTCCATGAATGAATGACGCGACCATGAAGGCGGCGCTGTTTTAAAATCTGACAGATAGTATGGGGAAACTTCTCCCCGTATTATCTGTCAGAGGGGGGGTCGGCGGGCACTGTTGCAGCTATGGGAACATATTACATGTTCCACCCTAAAAATGGGTGGAACATGCAACATGTTCCCAAAGGTAAACGTATCCTTTAATACTTGTCTATGTCTCTGTTTAAAAGGGTGCAGATGACCACAGCCTCAGGTTTCCTGTTTCATGGTGGCTCCTCCCTCTTGCAGCATCCTATGGAGTCACCGTTGCATGAGGGGACTAGAGTTGTGCATCAATAGCCTGTAGTCTAGGATGGAAAAGCACTCTTCCTCTGCTGCTTCTTCTCCCCCCCCCTCAAACTAACAGACTGACTCAGGTCCACACTATCACTGATGACTCATTCCTGTGAAGACCAAAATTTTAGGGAAGCTGCACTGAAAGAGCAAGAGTCAATTGTAAACTGTGAGTGTTGGGGTAAAATATTTTCCAAATATTTCCTTATGGAATGTTTTTTTTTTTTTTTTCAATTATGCATAATGTAGAAAGCTAAAAAATGCTGTGGGCTTTAACCTTGTTAAAAATGCTAGTTGTAAGCAAACCAAAAAGTATCTGCAAGACGTAAGATACCATCCCTATTGATCTTCATGGCTATAGGTTGTGGAAACATTTCCTACTGATTATTCCACAAGGAACTAGGAGGGCTGGACTCATCCAAAATGACCTAAAGTGCTTCCCACAAAATAAAGGATCATTCGTTCAAACAGACATTCCCCCACCTGACATCTATAGCTAGTTTACTTGACAGTAAGTACCGTATTTTTCGCTCCATAAGACACACTTTTTTCCCCCAAAAAAGGGGGGTAAATGTCAGTGCGTCTTATGGAGCGAATATAGAGCGGCCGGTCCGGTATTTCCGCCACCGACACCATGTCAGAATACCGGGCCAGCGGCTCAGCTCTTCTCTGCAGCAGGACCTTACCTTAGTCTTCCTGCGCTGGCATCTTCAGTGTGGGAACCCGGCTGTCACAGCGAGAAGCGCTGCGCTTTGTGAATGGCCCGGCATCTTCTGGGACCTGTCATGTGTCCCAGAAGACGCCAGGCCATTCACAAAGCGCAGCACTTCTCGCACATGCGCAGTCGGCACCCGGCTGTCAGTTGGGTTCCCACACTAAAGGGAGGACACCTCCGCAGAAGTCCGCATTGTCCGCAGTCTCTGGTCATCCCCTGTACTGTGTCCGCAGTCTCTGGTCATCCCCTGTACTGTGTCCGCAGTCTCTGGTCATCCCCTGTACTGTGTCCGCAGTCTCTGGTCATCCCCTGTACTGTGTCCACAGTCTCTGGTCATCCCCTGTACTGTGTCCGCAGTCTCTGGTCATCCCCTGTACTGTGTCCGCAGTCTCTGGTCATCCCCTGTACTGTGTCCGCAGTCTCTGGTCATCCCCTGTACTGTGTCCGCAGTCTCTGGTCATCCCCTGTGTGTCCGCAGTCTCTGGTCATCCCCTGTACTGTGTCCGCAGTCTCTGGTCATCCCCTGTACTGTGTCCGCAGTCTCTGGTCATCCCCTGTACTGTGTCCGCAGTCTCTGGTCATCCCCTGTACTGTGTCCGCAGTCTCTGGTCATCCCCTGTACTGTGTCCGCAGTCTCTGGTCATCCCCTGTACTGTGTCTGCAGTCTCTGGTCATCCCCTGTACTGTGTCTGCAGTCTCTGGTCATCCCCTGTACTGTGTCTGCAGTCTCTGGTCATCTCTTGTTCTATGTCTGCAGTCCAATGGTTCAAAAAAATTTTTTTCTTGTTTTTCTCCTAGGTGCGTCTTATGGTCAGGTGCGTCTTATGGAGCGAAAAATACGGTAGGTCTTTTACAGCCACTGACTGAAGGCTTAATTTTTTAAATTGTGACTTTATCAAATTTATTAACAAAAAAAGGTAGCTGGATTTGGGGAACTCAGACAATGACTGGCAAAAAATTTTTTAACTAGAATTTTACTCAGCAGCTCCTACAAATTAACATTAAAAATAGCCACAAAAAATTGTGATTGCATGGAGACTGCACATCACAGAAATAAGTGATAAGAGACTACAGTCCCATCCAGATTCAGTATTATGATTCTGCTGGTCACACAGTTTAAGGGAGAAAGTCCTCAACCTTGTGAATCCTTTGAGTAAGTTGACTCCGAGCTTATGTTGGACATACATTATATGGATTTCATCTGGTTCCTGATGAACTGAGCCATTGGGGTGGCCCTGCCCACGCCCTCCCATCAGACATCCTTTGTTCAAAGAAACAAAACAAAGTGGGTATGAGAGGTACAGTGGGATTTTCACCCACAGTAGAAGGAACACACCTCTGCTGATGGATTTCTGAACTTCTACCATTCATCAAAATAATCAGTCTGTCCATGTGAAATGACTGACACAAGATTTTGCTCTAGTATCTATAGACATCACAGGGGAGTCAGGAATTCGATGTTACAGAAACTTGTACCTTCAGTCCAATGGCTTGGTGAGCAGCCAGAGTCACAGCGATTGCACCGTCCAGCGAGGTGATCTCTCCCAGTCGGGCATACATAGTGTTAGATAACCCAAGTCCTCCTGCAAGGAAACATTCCAAACTTCATCATTACTAAGAATCCCATGCAGGTACATATCTAATACTGACAAAACTGTATGGTCAGAAGATGCAGTTGCCTTTACAATATTTTTTAATGTTTCTAACTCAGCCAGAATATACTGAAGTGTGTCCAAGTCTGCAGTCAAACGTTTGCGGTCTATGCCTGTTGCATATTATGCAATACACTAAAAAATGCAGCATAAACAGCCAACAGTAAAAATGACACAAACAATTATTAGTCATGTCTATAATAACATATTATGTTCTGTTCTTTCAGCTAGTTTATGCAATTTATAGGGAATGTATAATGTCTCTCAACACCATTTCGTTGCTTATTTTAATCAGAACCTAAAATCAAATTCTAAAAATATTTAGGTAATCATGAAATGCAGTTTAATACCATATAGTCTTGTATCCAGTCAGCAGATAGACTTGTAATGTTATTTTCAAATGTAAAGCTTTATATCACTTTTACCTGTGCTGCAATAAGTATATTTATAGAACTTAAAGTGACTCTGTCATGAGAAAAGTATGTAGACTGTCATTGCGGACATCTCCTTTGAGAATGTTTGGAAGCATTGAAGCCAAAGCATATCAGCATCACTGCAAGGGAACTGAGTCAATGACCTGAATCAAGTATAAAGATGAATAATTCTGATGCTTTTTAGCATCGCTTACCTTACCATGTTTGTTGTGGATCCACAACTCAAAAATAATGAAGCCAGACACAGCCAAGCAACTAGCATTTTCAAAAGATTGCCAGAAATGTCAACTCCATACATTTTCCATGATTAAAGTCCCTGTAAAAGGATACCTATAACTTTAATGCCCCTTAATGAATCACCCCATCTCCTAAGTGCAACCTAAATAGTTACATACTGTACTTCCTCCAATGCAAAAGAACTTGACTGTGTGGGCCTGCCCAACTGCTTTTTTTCCAACCATATCCCCCTGGTGTGCATGCTCACTAAGAGGACCTGGTGAAGAGGTTTTCAGAGAAAAGGTTGTGCAGTATCGGGCTGTTGCAGCCTCTTGCAGTCCCTGTACATTAGATTTCAGACCAGAGGAGGGAGAAACATCATAATGAGCCTATCAGCTGTGCTGCAGTGCAATAAGTATGCTGACAGGAGGAGAGATCAGAGTGACATATAGATGAACTCATCAGTCTGCTTCCCTAATTACATGGTGCTGCTTCCCTAATTACAGGGTGGAGTTGGGCAGGAAACAAGTAAAGGACTTTTCACATGGGGCAGACTGTGTTCCAATCAGCAGGGGATCCGCTCACAGATCCCCTGCTGAGCAGATATTAAAAGTCTTTAACCAGCGCACAAGTGTCGCCAATTAGCTGTTACACTGCACAATAATGCCCCTGGCAAATTTCAGTATGTAAATTCAAAAAAGTCCAGCACTTAAATATGAACATAATATGAATGTCAACAATGACTGCGTACATACTTTTCTCAGGACAGAGTTACTTTAAGTTCTATAAATATACTTGTTGCAGCACAGGTAAAATATAAACAAGAGCTGAGCAGTGTGGGCGGATGACAGGTCCATGTCCGATAAGGCTATGTAGAGCAGACACGGACAGAGCCCAATCTGCTCTATGGGCAGCTGGGTGTAAATGGACTCCGCTGTATTTACACCCGACTACCTCCCATCCAATCCACCTACATGGATTGGATCCCCTTCTATTTATTTTTAGGGGACTGGATCAGAGATGGGTGGGTGTAAACGGATACGAGTTTACACCCGGAGGTTCATAGAGCTGAATGGACTGTCCAATCAGGTCTGCCCAAAAAAGTGACAGGCAGACCTGATCAGAACAGTTGTGTGAAAGTTGTGGGGCCTACAAATTATTTTAATGCAGCAGAGAAAAAAATAAGGCCTCCTTTCCTATCAAAAAAAGCTGTGTGGTGTAGCATAGCTGAGATATTCAGAAATACATATACTAATTTGGATGAAAAAACAACTCCCTTATAGGTTTTTGTCTGGAGTTCAGCTTTAAATTTTTTTAGAAAATGCTTTATATGAATTTGGCATGCAAGGAAACTGCTTGTTCTTTGTGTGTAACCATTATTTTCACTTGTAAAGCAGTATCAATATGAGAAGGACATCCTTTGTCGTGACTAAGCTGCTTGTTAGCCCCCTTGTGATAGCAATGAAGGTTAAAGTGATTGTAAACCATCACTCTGTAAAACAACCCATTCAGTTTAAAGTAGAAATGAAAGGTAAACCATTTTATAGATGAAAAAAACATGAAAAATACCTTTTTTGTCCCTTTTTTATAATTGATCACATAGCCTGTGTTCTCAGATGCACAAGAGCTAGGGAAGGAGAAACAGCAGAACATTGATCTTCCCAGTGAAAGGCTGTGCAGGAGGGGGGTGTAAGCAAAAGTCTGATCATTAGAGGAGAGCAGGCTTGGTTCCCACCACAGCTAGAAAACTGACCACGGTGAGTCATGCCTAGTGTGGTCAGTTTTTATTAGGAAAACAGAGGGACTGGCAGGAACACTGGGAATTTCACAAATATATTTTATATATTTTGCAAAATAAAAAAAAAATGTAAGTGCCACTTTTTTACTCTCCAGTATCTCTGCTTTCAGATAATATATACTTGTTGGGAGATTAAAGTCATTTTGATTATAAAAACGCAAATTTTAACATGTGTGTGAAAAATTAGAAAAGTGACCAGACACAAGGTTAAAGTGATTGTTATTTTAAAATAAATTAAGGTTTACAAACATGTCTATACTTACCTGCTCTGTGCAATAGTTTGCACAGAGCAGCCCCAATCCTCCTCTTCTTGGTTGCCCCACTGGCACCCCCCTCCTCTTCCTCCTCTCTGTCGAGTGATCCCATAGCAAAGCACTATGGTGTATTTCCATTTCTGCAGTCAATGTGAGAAAATCCCACTGTACATTTGTTTGTGAGTACCTATTCATCAGATCAGGCAAATTATTTACTTGAGCAGCGCATAGATTATGCAATTTGCTTTCCATCTACTAGGGGTGGATTCAAAGAAAATTGCTTGATTTTCCTATCAACACAGTAAGTATTGACGGTAGAATCCCTCCCATAGAGCTATTGTGTTCTGTCGACAGGAAGCCTTCCCCATCGGCAGAACACAAATTATCAATGCTGGCAGATATAGCATGACAGAATCGACAGATCAACTTCAGTACAACCAGCCTGCCCATAGATGAATCGAACCTCGTCTGGTTCATCTATGGCCAGCTTTAGACAAAATGACTTTAAAAAATACCCTAATGTTTTCATAACCACATTAATCTACTATCTGCATGCTTTATGACAATACTTAGCTAAGCACTCACCATATTCTTCGGGAATCTGCATGCCAAACAGGCCAAGGTCCTTCAGCCCTTTCATCGTCTCAGGTGGAATTTTAGCATTCTGATCAATTGCTTTAGAATCAACTGCAAAAAAGATTTAAAGATTATATTTAGAAAATACAGTTGTGTTCACAATAATAGCAGTCAGACATCACTAACCTGATCAATCACTGTTTTTGGTAGAAATTATATTTCTACATGGCAAATAATTTACTAGCAGGTGTAGTAGAGTAATCGAAATCCAACAGACCCAACAGTCATGACATGCATGCTGCTGATTCTGTGTAATTGAATCACTAATTGAATCACTAATTGAAAGGGGCATGTTCAAAATAATAGCAGTGTGGCGTTCTATTAGTGAGGTCATTCATTCTTTGAAAAACAGGTGGCAATTATTGCCCTTATTTAAGGAAGGAAGGCAGAAAATGTTGTACATGCTGGTTACAGTGCATTTCTCTCTGAAATTCTGAGGAAAATGGGTCGTTCCAGACATTGTTCAGAAGAACAGCGTACCTTGATTAAAAAGTTGATTGGAGAGGGGAAAACATATAAAGAAGTGCAGAAAATGATCGGCTGCTCAGCTAAAATGAGCGCAAATGCTTTAAAATGTCAACCACAACCTGAAAGATGTGGAAGAAAGCGAAAAACTACCATTCGAATGGATAGAAGAATAGCCAAAATGGCAAGGACTCAGCCAACAATCAGCTCCAGGAAGATCAAAGAAGGTCTAAAGTTCCCTGTGAGTACTGTTACAATTAGAAGACGCCTATGTGAAGCCAAGCTATCTGCAAGAAGCCCCCGCAAAGTCCCACTGTTGAAAAAAAGACGTGTGCTTAAGAGGTTACAATTTACCAAAGAGCACATTGAATGGAGAAATGGCGCAACATTTTGTGGACTGATGAAAGTAATGATTGTTCTTTTTGGGTCTAGTGGCCGGAGACAGTTTGTCAGACGACCCCCAAACACTGAATTCAAGCCACAGTACACTGTGAAGACAGTGAAGCATGGTTGCGCAAGCATCATGATAAAGAGATGTTTCTCCTACTACGGTGTTGGGCCTATATATCGCATACCAGGGATCATGGATCAGTTTGAATACATCAGAATACTTGAAGAGGTCACGCTGCCTTATGCTGAAGAGGAAATGCCCTTGAAATGGGTGTTCCAACAAGACAATGACCCCAAACACACCAGTAAACGTGCAACATCTTGATTCCAGACCAACAAGATTGACGTTATGGAGTGGCCAGCCCAATCCCCGGATCTTAATCCAATAGAAAACTTGTGGGGTGACATCAAAAATGCAGTTTCTGAGGCAAAACCAAGAAATAGAGAAGAACTGTGGAATGTAGTCCAATCATCCTGGGCTGGAATACCTGTTCACAGGTGCCAGATGTTGGTTGACTCCATGCAACACAGATGTACAGCAGTTCTCAGAAACAGTGCTTATACAACGAAATATTCATTAAGTGATTCAAAGGAAAGCAAAATCTTCAAACATTTTTCAGTTTATATAGTGAATGTTTGTTTGTGTTTGTAAAGAAGAATACATACAAACACTGCTATTTTTTTGAACAGTCTAATATTCACTTTTCTTCAATTTGTTTAGAGGAACAACACAAATTTGATATATTTTACTTCATGTTTTGATTTGGAATAGAATGTGTAGTGTTCCCAATGCATTTGTGTGTATGGAAATAAAAGCTATTAGAAGGATTTTGAGCTTTATTCACTTTTTTTCAACACACTGCTATTATTTTGAACACAATTGTACATTCAATTTTATGACAGTCTTTAGTCAAATTTTAACACATTCAAGGGACACAGTGGACTCCTTGTCTGGCTCTGGTATTCATTCTCTGCCCATTCAGGGCATTGTGACAGTGTCTGCAAAGGGCATCCTCTGACCCCCATATACTCCCCTTACATGTGCTCCTTTGTAGCTACTTGGCCCTCCTCAGAAGAGCTGAAATCAGCTGTTGGTGGTTCAGGGGAATGGTAAGGTCACTCCAGCAGTCATGTGACAGTGTTTGGGCCTAGCAATTGGCTACGAGGCCTAGGCACCATCTTAGGGGAGCAACTTCTGCTTCTCTATACTCAACCTGCATATGTGACTCTGGTTACCAAGAGGCTGGTAGAAAGCACAAGAAAGGTAAGCATAAGTGAGTCGGGGGGTCCTTTACGGAAATGCTGTCACTTTGCCCTTCATGGGAAGTAGAACAGTATGCCTTTAAGAAGAAATTATATACAGAGTCAGTTTATAAACTTTAAAACATTCCAAAAATAATATATATTGGTCAAAAAGCATTCAGCTTCCCTTTAGACTGTAACATGTACCTCAGATTTCAGAAAAGTAGTGCTACCATACCGTCCATATTGAATTTCCTGCTTATACTTAATCCTCTTATGAAGGCTTCATATTAGCCATCCATAGTCTATTTTTCTACACAAGAAAATTACTAAAAGTAGTAGCGTTTATGATCTTTCAACTCTTCTTTTTACAATACTTTTTATTCTGTATTTTTTTTAGAAAGCCCTAAGCACTGGGATAAATAGTTTCCATATCTACCAAGAGGTGAAGTCCTGTCAAAACACATGGGCACAGGCAGGTGACATTGTGATCTTGTGACAGTACAATGTACGAAGAAACAACTTTATTGTATATAGAATTTTCCTCTATATTGCTGCACTCAAGATAGAATACAGGCAATCAGCAAGAGAGAGATGAAGCTATCAGGAACAGATGGATAATCCTGAGTGGCAGTGGATAATACCACATACAATTATCTGACCTGTAACTCATAGTGCAAAGTCTGGACCACAAGGACTCTCTCAGATTCACACAGCAATCATTTCTTGCCGCAGAAAATTATACAACAGGTCTGAAGCTTCAAGTTTACTCTGCTGAAAGTCTAAAACTGTTAAGACTAAACACAACATTTACAGTGTCTTGAAAAAGTATTCATACTCCTTGAAATTTTCCACATTTTCTCATGTTACAACCAAAAACATAAAAGTATTTTATTAGGATTTTATGTGATAGACCAGGGGTCTTGAATTAAAATTTACGGAGGACCGGTCAGCAAAATTTCCTTCCAGCAGAGGTCAGAATCTTGTTAGCGATATAACACAGTCCCCCGGTACCTTATGATCTTTAGCGTATCTTTCACACTGTAGTCCCCTCTACATCACAGTCCCCTCTTTAAAGAAGTCCCACAGTGTCCCCTTCACATCACTGCCCCCTTCACAACACAGCGCCCCCTAACACAACACAGCATCTCCTAACACAACACAGCATCCCTTAACACAGCACAGCATCCCTTAACACAGCACAGCGTCCCTTAACACAACACAAAGCCTCCTAATACAACACAGCGTCCCTTAACACAACACAAAGCCTCCTAACACAACACAGCGCCCCTGAACACAACACAGCACCCCTTTTAATGCAAGCCTTTCCCTGGTACTTTAGGCAGGGCAAAGACAAATCCTTCTGGGGTGTCCTCTCCTGGGTCTGCAGCTCACCAGCGGTGTCGTCCTCATGGTGGGCTAAGTGTGGGGGGTCCTGTCCAGACCGCGGCCATGCTGCTGCTGCTTCTAAGTGTCCTCTTCCGGCCTCCTGCCAGGCTGCCGGTGTCATCCTTGTGGTGGGTGGGGTGTAGGGGGCTGCAGATAGGGACTGGAGGGCAGGAGCTGATGATTGCCTGGCTTGTTGGTGTGTGGGGTCTGCGGCTCGAGGCGGGGCCCTTTTCATGTTGGCGGGCCGGGCGGTAGCCCACTTGTTGACATGGTGACTTAGGCGGTCGCCCACTTGACATGGTAACTTAGGCATGGTAACTTAGGCAGCTCCCTCGGTCCTGATCTGCAGCTCCCTCGCACCCTGTCCGCTGTGAGGATGGCCTCAGTCGCTGAGCTGGGGCTTGAGGGAGGGCACCCGGGATGGCGCTGCTGTGGTCCGAAAGGAACTGTCCCTTGCTCCGGTTCTGGACCGCGGTCCACCATTTAGTGACCACTGTGACAGACCAATACAAAGTGGCACAGAATTGTGAAGTGGAAGGAAAATAATAAATGGTTTTCAAAATTTTGTACAAATAAATAATCGGAAAAGTGTGGCATGCATTTGTATTCAGCCCCCTTTACTCTGATACCCCTAGCTAAAATCTAGTGGAACCAGTTGCCTTCAGAAGTCACCTAATTAATAAATAGAGTCCACCTGTGTGTAGTTTAATCTCAGTATAAATACAGCTCTTCTGTGAAGCCCTCAGAGGTTTGTTATAAAACATTAGTGAACAAAGAGCATCATGAAGGCCAAGGAACACACCAGAGAGGTCGGGGATAAAGTTGTGGATAAGTTTAAAGCAAAGTTAGATTATAAAAAAATATCCCAAGCTTTGAACATCACAAAGAGCACTGTTCAATCCATCATCCGAAAATGGAAAAAGTATGGCACAACTGCAAACCTACCAAGACATGGCTGTCCACCTAAACTGACAGGCCGGACAAGGAGAGCATTAATCACAGAAACAGCCAAGAGGCCCATGGTAACTCTGGAGGAATGGCAAGAAGAAAGCCATTGTAGAAAGAAAGCCATAAGAAGTCCCGTTTGCAGTTTGTGAGAAGCCATATGTTGACACAGCAAACATGTGGAAGAAGGTTCTGTTCAGATGAGACCAAAATTTAACTTTTTGGCCTAAAAGCAAAACACTATGTGTGGTGGAAAACTAACACTGCCCATCACCCAGAAAACACCATCCCAACTGTGACACATGGTGGCGGCAGCAACATGTTGTGGGGACGCTTTTCTTCAGCAGGGATAGGGAAGCTGGTTAGAGTTGATGGGAAGATGGATGGAGCCAAATACATGGCAGTCTTTGAAGAAAACATGTTAGAATCTGCAAAAGACTTGAGACTGGGGTGGAGGTTCACCTTCCAGCAGGACAACAACCCTAATCATACAGCCAGAGCTACAATGGAATGGTTTATATCACAGCAAGTTCATGTGGTAGAATGGCCCAGTCAAAGTCCAGACCTAAGTCCAATTAGGTCTGCAAAAAAATTTTCCTCAAAAGCTGTTTTGGTTATTC